TATTTACTGGTCACCCTATCTATGGAGGTACAGTTTTAAGCATTTTACACAGAATAACTCACCCAGTCCTCACTATTACCTTTTGAGGTCGATGCTATTATCATCTGCATTTTAAAGGTGAGGACCTGAGGCACCAAAAGGTTAAGTAACTTGTCCAAGATGGTATGGCTTTCTGGCACTTTCTGCCTGAGGATACGATTTCTTACAGCACTGTCTCTGAATATTCCCATCATGCTAAGAATAGCATCATTTTCATCACCTTCTTTCTCAACACCATTGTCTGCCCAGCCCTTCCCTGTAGCCAGTGTTCTACAATGCTTGACCTCTAGGTCTGGGGAAGTTCTTCTTCATAGCTAAAACTGGCTGTCATGCTGCATGACAAAAGATGACTCAGCCTCACAAGCATTTCAATCTATTTATGCCAAATATGGGGATAATCTTCTACTTTTCAAACCAAAGAGGGATCAGAACACAGTTAAGAGGATTTAGATGTCTTTGCTTATAATTTAATGTTTAGTAGGGACTTTGTAAACACAATTCTTTCTTATGTGAATATTGTTACACAACAAAAATTATATGTAGTCCAGTAAAGGAATACAGCAAACATATATATATATTAAAATGTTAACCACATTTAAAAAAAGATGATTGTTTTGATTTGATGAGTCTTAAAAAGCAACATGGAATAAACAAATCCAGGGCCTTAAAATACAACTTCAAAAATGGGCTACTCCATAGACCTAAATATAAGAGGTAAAACAGTAACACTTCTAAAAGAAAATATATGAGTAAATCTTTGTGACCTTGGGTTCAGAAATAGTCTTTTTGATATGGCACCAAAAGCATAAGCAATAAAAGGAGAAACAGATAAATTGGACTTAATCAAAATTTAAAATGTTTGTGCTTCAAAGGACACAATCAAGAAAGCCAAAAGACAACCTACAAAATGAGAGAAAATATTTGCAAATTATATATCTTAGGAGGGCTGACTATTCAGAATATATAAAGAATTTCTACCTTACAATTCAATAATAAAAAGACAACACAATCTTAAAATAGGCAAAGGATCTGAATAGACATTTTTCCAAAGAAGATGTGTATAATTGGCCAATAAGCATATGAAAATATGTTCACCATCATTAGAGAAATATAAATCAAAACCACAGTAAGATATCACCTCACATCCACTGGAATGGCTACAATTAAAAAGACAATAACAAGTAGATATGGGGAAAGTGGAACCCTCATACATTGCTTGTGGAGATATAAATGGTATAGCTGCTTTGGAGAACAGTTTTGCAGTTCCTCAAAACGTTAAGCCTAGAGTTACCATATGATCCAGCAATTCCACTTATCTAAGTATATACCTAAGAGAAATGAAAACAAATGTCCACACAAAAACTTGTACATGAACGTTCATAGCAGCATTATTCATGATAGGTAAAAAGTAGAAACAATCCAAATGTCCATCACTGGATGAATGGGTAAGCAAAACATGATATGTCCCTACAGAGGACTATCATTCAGCTATAAAAAGGAATGAAATATCGATATATACTATAACACGAATGAACCTTGAAAACATTATGCTAATCGAAAGGAGCCAATCACAAAAGACCACATATTTATGACGTCATTTATATGAAATATCCAGAACAGGCAAATACATAGACACAGAAAGTAGGTTAGTGGTTGCAGGGGTTGAGGAGAGGGAGGAATGGGGAGTGACTGCAAATAGGTATGAGGTTTGTTTTGGGGGTAATGAAAATGTTATAAAATTGATTGTGGTGAGAACTGCCAAACTCTGTGACAATACTAAAAACCATTGAATCGTACAACTTAAATGGGTGAATTATATGATATGTGAATTATATTTCAATAAAGTTAGTTAAAAAACAATGAGTTTTCCTTACCTATTCATCAACTCCCAGTGGCAGTATCATACCAGATAATAAAAATGAGATTTTTTTAAAATAACTCGCAATTCAGTGGATTTGCCGAAGCCCCAGATGCTATGTGACATGTTTTATATACGTGAAATTGCATTTTTATATTGTTGGCAAACTTCTGGCCTTTATCTCGGGTGTCCCAAGCTTTACAAACAAAGTCCAAAATTCCTTTATGAGTTACACACTATTAACTTCAAAAGTATACAGTCATGTCCAGCCTGACCGTTACAGGGTGGCAGCCAGTATTTCATCTTCTCAGCTGCATACTCGTAGCCTTTGGAAAGTAAGTGCCTCACTGTGGGCATCGCTTGAATTCTATTTGTAATAACATGACTTGGGAGCTACAGCCTCAGTAGCTCCCTTACTGGTTCCCTCACACTAATTTTCCCACCTGGGTTTGTTGTTTCCATCCGGATTATTGTAGAGCCCTTGTTTGGAGTGATTGAAGGTGTGAGTGCTGGTCTGTTTTTAATTGGCATGCTGGTGGCTGTCGTTGCCTTATTCATCTGCAGGAAGAAAACAAGGTAAGGACAAAGATCCCTTTGGTGATTGAGCCCACAGCTGTAAAGATGGAACTGAAAATGCCCTTTAGCCTGAAAAGTAAGAAGGGAAAATAATTCAATTTCCCCAGATTAAATCATCAGTGTTTTCCCAATAAAAATAAAAGCCAAATTCTAAAACCATGAGTCACTCTTTTTCAGCTCCTTTATATACCATTGATGAATTTGGTCCTTACCGAATAACTGAGGGATCATCTGTAGCTTTCCTTAAACATGAAGCCAGATGCGATGGCACATGCCTGTAGTCCCAGCTACTCAGGAGGCAGAGGTGGGAGGATCGCTTGAGCCCAGGAGTTCAAGACCAGCCTAGGAAACATAGCAAGACCTGTCTCAAAAAAGACAAAAAAAAAAGATGAAAAGACTCCTTTTGCATAGGAAAAAAATATTTTAGTGTGGTTCATGTTCTAATGAAGACAGAGATGTTTGCAAATTGTGTGCCCAAGTGCTTTTCTGAAATATCCTGAAAAGTATGGGTGACATCACCATTTTGTGGCTCATATCTGCCATCCTAATTTAAGAAGGGACCTAAAAAAACCAAATAGCATGTGGCCCCAATGCTTTGCCTTCTTCTCTTAGTAAATTTTCTTTATTTGGCACATTGCCTTCTCTCCTGCAGTCGTGTCTGGTTCACTCTTGTGGGTTTTTTTTTTTTTTTAAGGAAAGTTTTATTGAGAATGTGGGAAGTGATTATAACCTGTAGCCAAAAACCAGAAGACAAATCTTTGGTTATTGCAGAGATCCGTTTCTGAGTGGGAAAGATCTACTTCTTTATGCTCTTTCCTTTCCCTCCCCCAAAGAGATATTGGCTGAGTGCAAATCTACATGAATACTGAAAAATCCAATTTGCACAAACATGCACAGCCTTACCATAAATGGGAAAATTTGTTCAAGCCAAGTATCATAATCAGAATAAAAATCCTCTCCCTTACGTTTCAGCCATGGTCGAGAAAGGCCCTCTGCCCGCCTGAGCATACGTAGGGATCGGCCATTATCTGTCCACTTAAACCTGGGCCAGAAAGGGTAAGCACCACATTCAGCTTCATATAATTTATTGAAAGATGGTATTATGTGAGATTTGCTAAGGAGCTCTTTCCTTTTCTTTTGGTTCTCCTTCACAGTAACCGGAAAACTTCTTGGTAAGAGAGAAAACTCAATTACTATATTATCTGCCTTTGAAATATGACTCAGACTGGTTACATCATTTTCCCTTTTCTGGAGTAATTTTTGTTTTGTTTCATTTTCAATTACAGCCCAATAAAAGTAAATCAGTTCGAAGGGCATTTCATGAAGCTGCAGGCTGACTCCAACTACCTTCTGTCCAAGGAATACGAGGTACAATTCAGATGGAATGAAGCCCCAGCACCCCTAGTCCTTGGCAGAATTTCCATCCTAACCCTTACTTTGCAGCCATAGGCTGATGGGGCTCAAGAGTTAGGATGCTGCTTAGGATCTCAGCTGCACCCTCTTTTATGCCTAAACCATTCCCTGCACAATATACCACCTGCACAATCTCAGAGGCCAGTTCGAGCCCCAGAGTAGCACAGCAAATCACGTGCTACCTGGATCACATGGTAAGGAAGAACTAACAAATCTCAAATGCAAACATAATGCTGTCAGTGTTTCAGCCTGGCCATTTGCTTGGCTGGGAAATGACATCACTTGGGGAAAAGTACCCAGGCTTTGGATTTGATTCCCAGATTTGGCACTGAGTGACCTGGGGCAAGTTAGTTACTCTGACTGAGCCTCGTCTATAAAATGGTGATAAGAACACCTCCCTCGCGGGGCTGTTGTGGGGATCACGGTAATGCATGTCAAATACCAGTCATTCTATAAATAGTAGCTACTGCACATATTTTTATATTTTTATCTATCTCTAGGACTATATGATTTGCCTTATTCTATTTCATATTCTTCACTTGCAAACTTCTTTTTGACCTAATAGGACTTAAAAGATGTGGGTCGAAACCAGTCTTGTGACATTGCACTCTTGCCGGAGAATAGAGGGAAAAATCGATACAACAATATATTGCCCTGTAAGTTTTGTGTCAAAATTTGTAATATTGTCTTCCTCTAGCCATTTCTGCACTTTTCCAGGAATAAAATGGGGCTAAAGAAATATGGTATAGCTGGATATGGACAATCTCAGGTTCAGAACACCTTCAATAAGAAATGACTTGTATGTTTCTGTACTTCCCTCCAGAGGGAGAACAACCGGTTTAAATTCTGATTATGAGAGGCCGCTTATGCTGCTGACATTTTCCCCTGTGGTCCTACTGCTTCTCCTTGGAGGCTAAAAACAGTAATGGGGTTAACAGCAAGGGCTCTGACATCAAGCTGACCTGGGTTTGCTTAACAAAGTCTTCAGTTAGAAATTTTTATTTAAATTATCCTTACCCCATTAGGCAAAGCAACAGAAGGTAGTCTTTCTGGATTGTATTTTTTCCAGCAGGGAAAGGGAGCTCGCCGCTCCTTCAGGCAAATGTCATAGTGTTGCAGAGGAAAGCCCAGATGGGGCTTCACTTTGTCTCCTGTGTCTGACTGTTTATGAGCCACCTATGCAACCCACAGCAAGCTAGTCATCCTATGTGGGCCTCATCTGTAAAGTGGAGATGAGAACACCTCCCCTGTGGGGCCTTTGTGGGGATCAGAGCTAACGCACATCGTGTACTACACATCACACAGACTGTAGAAAAGTTACCCCAAGACTCAGTGACAAATCTCTCAATAACTTCCTTCCAGATGATGCCTCGCGAGTGAAGCTGTCCAACGTAGATGATGACCCTTGCTCCGACTACATCAATGCCAGCTACATCCCTGTAAGTGAACCACTGGGCCATAGTGCCAGGATGAAGCTTTGATGGGTGGCTACACTGGACATGCCACCCCACCGTCCGTTCCCACTGTTCTCAGGTCTGGAAACGTGTAGATTTCAGACGACCATGTCTGATTGCCATAAAACATGGGGTATCCAATTCAATCACTGCTAAGCCTTGTTATTCACCATGGCTGTACCCACATAAAATTATAATGGGCCCCAGATGCATTTTCATACGTCGTTTACTCTCTGCAGCCCTTAGCCAAGGTCAGAGTTCCCTAAGGAAGATGCGCCCCACTGCTAAGCCTGCCAAGTTATTTGGATTTTTGAAAACCACAGACACAACTCAAAGGTTGTGTCAAATCTTTGGGCTCTAAGTTTGGCTAGCATCTTGCCACCTTCCTACAGCCACTACAGTGGACAAAGTTTTAAGGTCAAACAGATCTAGGGTTGAATCCCACTTCTGCCCCTGTCGACTCTGTGACCTTGGGAAAATTATGTTACCTTTTTGGGCCTCCCTTTCCCTTTCCAAAAACTTAGGATAATAATATTTACCTCAAACAATTATCCATTCACTCAGTAAACACTATTGTATGTTGAACACTAGGCTGTGTACAGGGATAAGATAAGATGCCATCCAACCCTACAGGAACTCTCAAAAGAGTTGGGGCATCAGGAAATTAGAAGGCAAGGCCAGGAGAAACCTGCTAGAGCAATGCTCCTCCAACATTAACAGACATCGCGCCATCTGGGGACCTTGTTAAAATGCAGATTCTAATCCAGCAGGGCTGAGGTGGGGCCTGGGAGTCTGCATTTCTGGATTGATCAAGCATCTGAGTGATCCCAACGCTGCCAGTTTGAGGACCACACTGTGTAGTGAGAGGCTGGAGGTTGCCATGGAGCACCCAAGCGGAGAAGACCAACCAGCAGAGAGAGAGATAAAGGAAGGCTCGTCCAGGCAGGCGGCATGACGAGGATAAATAAGGATTAGTCAGATGGGAGGCAGTGTTTGGGTGGGCGGGGGTGACATAATGTAGAGACCCTGAGCAGAAGCAAGGAGAGGAAGAGCTTCTACCAAGGTTTGCAAGCAATTCTTATTGCTGGAGAGCAGAATGAGTGAGTGAAAATATTCTAGCTCATAGAATTGTGGTTTGGATCAAATAAGATCTGTGCAAGTCCTGACCCACTGCACGTTAGATGGTGGCTGCTCAATGAACAGTGGGTTCTTTTCCATTAAGCTTCCTTTGCATGACATCTCTTACCAAATTATTGTAATGTCGATTTTCCAAAATGACTAAAACTCTTCTACACTAAATAGGGAAAGAGCCTGTTTAAAGTCAGTCCCTCAGTCTTCTGTCTCTTTCTCTCTCACACAGACACACATGCATGTAATCGAGGGTGAAGTATTTTCTAGATCATTGCCCGAGTCCTCCATTAGCCAGTTAGAATACACCCAGTCTAATAAAAGGGAATGTGGCTCTTAACAATAGGTCAATGTTCTGGCCTTTTTCCTTCCTGCTCCAGAGACTCGACACTTATGTTAGTATCTTTTTCTCAAGTTAGGGTCCTGGCAGAGACCTTCATATCATCTAATCGGCAGAGCTAACTCTTTGTTTACAGTTCTGAAGAGGCCCATTGTTTCTGACTCTCCATATTGTAAATTCATTGCAGGGCAACAACTTCAGAAGAGAATACATCGCCACTCAGGGACCGCTTCCTGGAACCAAAGATGACTTCTGGAAAATGGCATGGGAACAAAACGTCCATAATATCGTCATGGTGACCCAGTGTGTGGAGAAGGGCCGAGTGAGTAAACAGCCTTCCTGACTTCCAAGCTTTGCTTTCCACTGCACAGATAGAATTCTGCGCCCCGCCCCCCCCATCCACAGTTAAACCACACAAAACCAAGTAGGGATCATGTGAGAACAATGTTAGTGACTTAAGCTACTCAGTTCAGAAAGTTCTAATAGTGAATCCATCCAGGTGATGCCTGATTCTGATTCTGGGTCTGAAGTTTCAGTCAAAGCTATTTCGATTTGAAGATTAGGGTTATAGGCAGTGCCTATTACAAAGAAAGATTATACCTGACCACTTGGCTGCTTCTTCCTTCAGTGTACGGCCACAGAAAGACTCTGCCAGAGTGACTGCACCTGCCCCTGCTCTCAAGAAAGAAGCGAGTTTTAGGCTGTGTCAGCAGATGCAGAGTAAAATAATTACCTAGACAAATTAAGCGAACCTCTTGGAATGCAATTATAATCCTCTGCTTTGTATGGTTACTTTGAGGATTGAAAGAGAGAGTACATGTAAAGTGCTCAGTATCTGTGCTTGATAAATACATGCTCACAATCTTCTTTCTCCTGTCTTTGTACAGGAGAGCTTAGCTAACGGCGAGCTTAGCTAAACATTCTGATTTCTTGAAGATCTCTTGACACATGTCCCAAGTTAGGACAGTGACATAAAAATATGAACAAAGCAGGGCCAGAAAGACAGTGCCTTCCTATGCCCAACTAGATCTTTCTTCAGAAAAAAAAAAAATAATAAATTGTGAGCCATGGTTTATTTGTTAGTGGAACTGAGGAAATTAATTAAAAAAAAAAAAGCCACATGTCACCGTGCCTACAAAGTGAATGAATGCAGAGGTTGGGGCGTGTGGGTGCGCCTCGTGCGGGGTCTCCCCTTCACTCTAGGCAGCCGCTCAGCTCCGGCACTGGCCATGAGTAGGTTAATGTTAATAAAAAGTAAATGGTCAAATTGCTTTAGCAGCTGACCCTGGATTCCCAGCTCAGGAAGGCATTTCGAGGAGGGAGAGTCCAGGTTCACAAAGGAGTCACGGTTCTGGACTCACCTTTTTTCTGTTTGTCTTCTTCTAGGTAAAGTGTGACCATTACTGGCCAGCAGACCAGGATTCCCTCTACTATGGGGACCTCATCCTACAGATGCTCTCAGAGTCCGTGCTGCCCGAGTGGACCATCCGGGAGTTTAAGATATGCAGCGTATGTTGGTTTGCTTGACTTCATTCAACAACCTAGCTTGGAAAGATGAAGGGCATCTGTGAATCCCGTTTTAGCTGGTTCCTTTCCTGTAGTTTCAGTCTGTAGGAATTCCTGCATGGCACGGTTGTTGAGTTTGAGGGTTTGTCTTGGGCGGTTCCTCTTATTGTCCTGTTCTCTGCTCTTGCAGGAGGAGCAGCTTGATGCACACAGACTCATCCGCCACTTTCACTACACGGTGTGGCCAGACCATGGAGTCCCAGAGACCACCCAGTCCCTGATTCAGTTTGTGAGAACCGTCAGGGACTACATCAACAGAAGCCTGGGTGCTGGGCCCACCGTGGTGCACTGCAGGTACGTGGTGGCCTCGGAGCCAATAAAATGGCAGCCATACGTATGGGGGTTGTGTCTGGGAGTCTAGAGAAAGGCATAAGCATGGGGAATCTGGACGGCCGAGGGTTTGTCGGAGCCAACCAGCCTGGCTTGCCCCTGGGGGACTTTATTACCCTCCTCTCCTTCCCCTGCCAACCTCGCTCCTCTTCACTGACTTCTTTTCCACTTTTTTCCTTTTCCACTTCTCTCTCATTCTCAGCATGCAGCCTTCTCTCTCCCTCTTGTTCTTTTTCTTACTGTCTAAAATGCAAAGTCCTGCTGTGACTTCCATCATGGGCCCCGGCTCACCCTCCATCCAAGTTCCCAAAAACTCACCTCCCGTTCCAGCCAGGAAGGAGAGTGCACAAGCTCATTCTTGCCTCTGGCCATTCTCAGTCCTTGGAATGGCTTTGTCTCTCTCCCCATCTGTACAAGCCCTACCCATTCTTCGAGGTTCCGTCCTAGACTTCCCTCCAGATCTAGTAGCATGTCTTCATCTTTTTGTGCCATACCACAGATTAGGTCATTTGTAAACAATAGAAATTTATTTCTCACAGTTCTGGGATCTGGGAAGTCTAGATCAAGGCAGCAGAGGTTTGATGTCTATCGAGGGCCTGGTCTCTGCTTCCAAGGTGGTGCAGTATTGCTGCATTGTCAACAGGGGACAAAGCCTGTGTCCTCACATGGGAGAAGGGATGGAAGGGCAAAAGGACCTAGCTAGTTCCCTCCAGCCCTATGATAAGGCACTAATCCTATCCATGAGGGCTCTGCATAATCACCTCCTAAAGGCCCACTTCTTAATACTGTTCCATTGAGGATTAAGTTTCAGCATGAATTTTGGAGAGGACACAAACATTCAAAGCACAGCATAGCACTTGACACATATAGCACCCAATTTTTCCTTTGAATTTCTCTTCTCTCCTGATTTCTCTTTGCTTCAGACAATCTGTACATGAAATCAACCTAACAAGCGATTTTCTCTCTGGGGAGCCTGGTATTTAGCTAATTAGTGTTTGCAACAATGCTTTGATAACCCTAACTGAATGGCACTGATAAATAAGGAGCAAGGAATTGCTACAGTAAGGAAAATGCCAAGTGCACTTGTGTCTTCCCAATCAGCCCAGCACCCTAGGAGCCCTGCTTTCCTATGTCATTGGAACCCTGACACTTCCAACTGGAAGGTGAGGCAGGCATTCAAGAGCTTCCTGCTTTCTCAAAAATGGCAGGCATCGTTGCCCAGGACCACTGGAGGACCGGTTCTTCATCTTTTAAATGTGTGCATCAAAAATCCCCAGAGAACAAAACCACTTTGGGGAACAATTTGGCAATCCCTAGTGAAGGTGAAGGTGTTCATACCTCATGACCAACCCAGCAGTTCTGCTTCTAGGTGTCAACCCCTGAGACATCTCCATACATGTGCACAATGATGTTCATGGCAACCAATTTTTTAATAGAGAAAAGCTAAAAATGATCTCATCATTATTGTATTGTCATCCATTGTAGGGAATAGATGGTTTGTGAACTCTACAGAATAGTTAAAAGAAATTAGATCTGCATGTAACAACGTGGATAAATCTCAAAACACAGTATTGAGTAGAAAAGTTGGCAAAAGGATACATAAAACATGTCATCATTTCAGTAAATTTTTGAAGCCCATAAAGGAAATATATTGTTTATGGATTTACATGTATGTAGGAAAAGTATAAAAACGTGCATGGAAATTATACATACCAAGTGCAGGGTCGGGTGGGGAAAGGGAAAGAAAGGAAGGAGAAAGAAATAGAAGGCTGGGGTTATATTTCTTTGAGAGAAAATGCACACTGAGAGAAAGAAATATTCCTATCTTCTCCCATTACTTGGAAGGGAAAAGAAAAATCATGGCAGTCTCTAAATGCAGTCTTAAAAGGCGAATTTAAATATCGCAAATTGCCTAGAAAAACAGACTGGAAGAAAAGGCTAATTTCTTTGGGTAATAGAATTACCATTGATTTTGTTTTTCTTCTTCCTACCTTTCTATATTTTCTAAATTTTTTTTGTCAATGAACTATTCATAACAAGAAAGAAAATATTTTAAACAAATTGCATGTTTTTGAATACTATGTATTTATTTTAAACTCATATTTTAGAAGAATACTCATCAATGTGAGAAAATGGCCATGGTATATTATTAAATAAAAACAATAGGTTATAAATACAAAAAAAAAAAAAGGCGAATTTAGTAAAAAGGCTCAATTTTCCTTTGCCATCTCTTCCAGTGCTGGTGTGGGTAGGACTGGAACCTTCATTGCTTTGGACCGAATCCTCCAGCAATTGGACTCCAAAGACTCTGTGGACATCTATGGAGCAGTGCATGACCTCAGACTTCACAGGGTTCACATGGTCCAGACTGAGGTAAGGGTTACAGGCTAAGGGCTACAGACCACCCTCCACTTACCCCCAACCCCCCAAAACAACAAAAAAAGTCCCGGACTTTAATCTCACAAGGAGAAATAACCATGACACATTAGGAAGAAAAAGAGAGAACTGGATTCAGATATTTTTTAGGACTTGCTATTTTAAAACAAATCTCAGTGACCTTTAGGGTGATGTGTGCCCTTGTCTCTGCTGAGCTAGTTACTCAGTTCAGGAGAGAATTAATTTAGGTGGGTAGGAAGAAAGATGGATTTTTTTTTTTTTTTCGATTGAGACATTTCACATGGGGGAATGGTCAGGTTGGTCCATCTTAGAGAACTCTTTAATATAAGCTGGTGGATGAGCACCAGCATCTCAGTAAGGAGGAAGAAGATTCCAATCTCTTCTCTCCCCAAGCCCTCTGTAGCTGCACCCTCATTTCTGGAAACACCAAGAGAGCATATGTTGATTGTGAAAGCTAAATGCTTCCGTATGTACAGCCCTTTGACATCTTCATTGCATTTTCACAATATCCAGGTAAGAAGTATATTCCATTTCCAGAGGCTAAAGGGCTTTGCACAAAGCCCACAACCGTGAAGTGGCTGAGCTGGCTTGGATGCTGTTTGAGAGAATCCCAGACCCTTGAGTACCAAGCCTACTGCCCCACATCCTGAGGGTCAGATCTGTTTCCCCTGCAGAGACCAAGCACCTCATTCACTCCCCTGCCTAAATGGCTTCCAAGGCTCAAGTTCTCTTACCCTTGTGTTTTCCAAGTTTTTCCCCAAGTAATTCTGCAAAATCCTCTGTATAACAAAAAAAATTCCCATGTTTGAAAAAGTGAAAAATTCCATGTGCTACGATATCCCTTCTTAGAGTCACAGTACACACGACTGCACCCACAGCAATGCTCCTCGAAAAGGGGGGATCCTGCAGCAAAGGCTCCCTTTGAGCTTTGCTGAACCCGCTATTCCCAAAATCTCCTTCACCCCTGAATTCTTTCCTTGTGCAACACTTACTAATATCCTACAGAATTCCCACCCTGTAGCACATTTGGCAAAACAATAGTGTCATTGCCTCCTGCAGGCAGCGCCCACACCCAGGATCCTCTCCCATCATTATAGCAACTATCCCACCATATTCTGAATGTTTTTTTATGAAATTGTTTAAAAATACACAAAAACTAGGGAAAACAGTATAATGAATTTCCATGTACCCAGACCCCAGCTTCTACAATTATCAGTATTCTGTGTTTTTTTCCCAACTATATCCCACATACACTGTTCCCCTATCCTATGACCCCATGGCAATATTTTAAAGCAAATCCTGTTAACGCATTATTTCATTCTTAAATGCATACATATATGTGCGTGTGTATCTGTGTGTGTGTGTGTGTGTGTATGTTTTTTAGAGATAAGAAATCCTTTTAAAATTTTGACCACAGTACCATTATCACACCTAATAATTATAACCATAAGACCCAAATATCATCTACTATCCAGCCAGTACTTAAATTTCCCTAATTATCTCCAAAAATTACTTTTTGTAAAAAACTGTAGTTGGTTTTCATTAGAATCCAAAATTCACACATTTCATTGGTTGAAATATCTCTTAAATATCTTTTAACCTATAATCATCCTCCCTCCCATTTGTTTTCCACACCATTTATTTGTTAAAGAAACCAGCTCATTTGTTCCGTAGATTTTCCCACATTCTGGAAGTGATTGCATTCATGGTGGTAATGTATTCCTCTATTCCCCGTGGCTTTTGTCAGCTGGTCGTTAGATCCAGAGGCTTGATTAAACTCGGGTTGCTTCTACCACCACAATCCTCGCGGGTGGTGCTGAGTACTTCCTGTTGCATCACTTCAGGAGGCAGGTCATCATGCCTGTGTCTCTCTCTGAGCGCTGATGAAACTGACAGTGGGTTCAGGAGGCAGCAGCCTGAGTCAGCCATTATCCTCAACAACCTTTCACCTAATGGTTTTTAGCAGCCATTGATGACTGCTGTCTGGCTCTGCTACCTCATTAAAGGTTGCACAGTTGTATCACCCTGTATCATAATTGTCATCCTCCAGCTTTCTCCTCAAGACTCTGAGTTGTTAGAGGGTAGGAACGTGTTTTCCTTCTCTATATCCTCAATAGTTTTTAATCTGTTAAATGAATGAACAAATATCCTACAATTATGTTGCTAAAAAGTCAGCATTAATATTTCATTATTAGTGTATCATCACTTCCACAAACTCCAACCATACTTAATTTGTAATTTGAGGAAGAGGAGGTTATTGCATTATAAATAATATTGAGCCGTGTGTGTGTGTGTGTGTGTGTGTGTGTGTGTGTGTGTGTGTGTTTTCAGGCTCTCTAGTAATTGTCAGAGGCTCTTGGGCCATGTATCACTTCCATATACCTGCCCAAAACTCTGGAGATGCATTTTTGGCAAAGAGCAGGAACTCTATTATAAATATCACTGGCCGACTTTCAGACCAGAGGTGACACAATGTGCCAAACTCTTCCTCCTTCTCCTTAGAAATAACTCCTTTCCCTATTCTCTTCTCCTTCTCCTCCTACCTCTAAGAGGATTCTGTGGCTTTTTTCCTCAGCTTGCCTTCTCAATGTTTGGGTTCCCAGTGGTTCTGTCCTCAAGGCACTGCTCTTCTTTCTCTCAACCTTCATTCTTTGTGATGTCCTCCATGCCCATGGTTCCAAGAAACACATACATGCTTATGTTTCCCAGACATAATTCTGCTTTCCCAGCATTCACCTAAGTACCCGCCTACCAGAAAGTTCCACCTGGAAGCCTTGCAGTCATCTTAAGCCCAAAAAGCACAAAACTGAACTTGTTAACTTTCTTTTAAACAACAACACTCCTCCTGCTCTTGCACCTTCCAGTTTCAATGAACAGTATTGCCATCCATATGTTTGCCCAAGCTGACTTCTTTCCCTGCAGTTTCCATATCCAAGTACTCAAGAACTGTCAATCCTACCCGATGTCCTTCTCTTTGTCCTAGTCCCTCACTCTACTGCCACTACCCTTGTTGGGCCCTTTATCATCTCTTGTTGGCCCTGCTCTCATAGCCTCCTAATGTGTTTATGCCTATAGCTCTGGCCTATAATGATTTTTCATCACCACTTGCATCATCAAAGTTCCCTGGCTGACCACATCGCCTCCCTGCATAAAAATCTTGGAAAGGTCACGATTGCTCATAAAGTGAAGTTTAAACTCTCATCCTTGTGTACAAGGTTCTTCATAACCTGGCCCAACTTAACTTCTCCAGCTTCATGTCATAATACTACCTACCACCACTGTTTCAGAGTCTGCCAAAATTAAGGAAGGTTTCCTTCCCTGGGCCAGAATCAACTTTTTATTCTTTCTATCATAATGAAATAAACATTGCAGTAAGATAGAAATTTTCTCTTTCCCTTTTTTCTTGATTAAACAAAATCCCAAACAATATCCAGATATCATCTGTCTTGCTTTAGCCTGTGCCAAAATTGGGCTGCTTCTACAGGCTCTGAATCCCTGGCCCCAGAGCTGGCATGGCTCATTTCATAATGGAAGTGGGTGCAAAGGGGTGTAATCCACAGCTGAACCCCTGTGGGTGACTTCCAGCAAAAGAGGAAGGACATTCTAACGCCTTGTATTGTTTTTCTGGGTCCATGGTGACAGTTGACCCAGACTTTCTTTTATATTTGGATACAAAGAGATGTAGGTCTTTATATTTTTTTATAAATATATCAAAAAGCAAGGATTTCTAAACAAAAAGGCATTAGTCAGGGGATTCGCAGGTGTGTCCCTCCTTCTTTCAGCCTGCTTTGGGGCACATTTGCAGCCTGACTCTGAGAGAGACACTTAGGGAGAAATAACTTGTTCTAAAGAAAAACAGATAACAGTCAAAGTCTGTCAATCTCATCTGCTTCTCATAAGAAGGAAACACTGGATTTCTGTAGGACTAAGGATCTCAGTTTCCATTTGGGAGATTGTTCTGGAGGTTTCCTATAACTCATACAATCTACATTTTAGCTACACTAGACTTCTCACAGTTTTTAGAATATGTGCAATTTCATGTTATTTTGCCCTACTTCTTTGCTCAAATTCTTACAGATGTCACCTTATCTGTCTAGCTTGATACTTTCCTCCTCTAAAAGTAAATCTAATGACTTCTTCTTCCATATGAAGCCTTATATATAATTCTGTCTTTTATCATCTTATAGTTATTTGTTCACATTTGCTCTTCTGCTAAACTGTGCACTCAGGGATCATGAAAAGTTATAATACTATTATATAAATGCTATCTAATATTACAAATATTGATGAAATTGAATGGAACTGAATGTGTTAACACTAAGCCAAGGCCTCACCATTAGCAAAAAAAAAAAAAAAAAAAGATATTTTATGATCTGAGGTTCGTATATTAGATAGTCTACTTTTCATTAAGAGTAAAGCGAGAAGCACATTAACAATCTGATAGTTTTAGTGGTAGTCATTTTCAGAAGGATATTCTATGGGGAAAAGAAAAATTTATATTTAAGACAAGGCAAATTAATGGATATTAACTAGCTTCAAACCCCATGGTAGATCATTATTGAAGAATTTATTAATAGGCCATGGCATAGATATACTAGGGTTCATTCACAGCTTACCTCTAAGGTCCCAAAGTAGTTTAATATCCCAGTAGAACTGAATATATGAATTATGGGTGGGAGAAAACGGGGATGTCATTATTATTTGGTGGATCATTTTTAAGATGGAAAAAAGAGACTGCTCTATACTAACAACCATTCTCAGGATAATACCCTCCTCAAATTTTCAAGGTTGAGATGGTATAAAACTCTCATAACAAATGAGCAAGGCCTATGAGCAGAAAAGCAGAGAATAGTTATTAATATTACTGCAGGCCTCATTTATGATTGATTTGGTTATTTAAAATGTCCCCATCTATTGATTATACCAGACCTACCTTATAAAGTCCCATGGGTAGATGACCAGGCGAGCTTCCAATCAGGGACAATGCCTCATGTCAACCCATAAAAATAAGTACCTGTCCACTTTGAAAGATTGTTAATGAGGGAAGAGCTTAGAGTTCTACTTTGTATCTCAAACTCTTAAAATACTTACTCTAAGGCTGACTACACTGATCGCCTTGAACACGAGGTCCAGAAACATTTTTTAATATACAACTGACATCAACATAAAGTCTTGTACCCTTTAATGGACAAAGGATTTTGCTGTAGAAGAGACCTTGGCCTCCTTGTCTGATAAGATGGGGAAACTGAGATCCTGGGAAGCCTCGTGATTGAGCCTAGGCCAGCTGGAGGTGGCGTGAGAGCACAGTCCCCCTCACGTGGTGTCTGCTCCCCTCCCAGTTTCCACACTCCCTCCCTGTGCACTGAGCAGTTGCTACATCATTAAGGGGAGCCTAAGGCCAAGCACTGAGGTTCCACAGACATCCATTTCCTTATGAGAGAGCTCAGGTGGTGATAAGGAAGGGCACCCAATGCACAAGTTTGGCTGCCTGTGGCTGAGACACCATTGTCAGTGGAGGTCTCTGTGGTGTCTTTATGGTCACCAAAGCACTGAGTCTTCTATATGTGCTTATATTTCAAAAGTAGTTAATTCCCAATAGCTGACAGGTGGGTCTATCCTCACTGTGCAACCTCTGTAGTTCTCTGCAGTCAGCCAACATCTTTGAGATTCTTCCATGTGCCAGACTTGGATGCTGAAACAACAGAGACGGCTAAGACCCTGACCGTGCATTCAACGAACAGTCCAGTGGGGTTTACTGCACACACCTCCTTTTTCTCACTGTATTCCCAAAATAAAGGAAACAAAACGGAGAAATGATTTTCTCATTCAGTAATGCAATGAAATTGGGATTCATCTAAGAAAACTGGTTTAGTAAAAAGGACGTGAACTCTGAGGTCCCCAAGGATCAAATTCTAGGGCCCCATTTCTTAGCTATGTGACCTTGGAGAAGTTACTTAACTTCTGAGTCTTAATTTATGTTGATAATTATATCTACTTCACGAGGTTGTTGAAATCATTGAATGAGATAATTTATGTAAAGCACATAATTAGCACAGTGTTAGGCATTTATTCATCTTTTTAATTGTGAAGGACCTACTCTGTGCTAGACATAGTTCTAGGCACTCACAGAACATACTGCATACATACGCATGCTTGTTAAAAGAATGAATAAACGCCACCTCTGTACCGATTACCATTATTCTCTTTTAAGTGGTAATACAAAGCAGTCACTCCTTCCAACAACCACAAAATATACCTCATTCTCATCAGCCCATGGAACATTCTCCAAGATAGACCATATGTTAGGCCACAAAACAAGTCTCAATAAGTTTTTTAAAAAATGAAATCATAACAAATGTCTTCTCAAATCACAGTGAAATAAAACTAGAAATCAACTGTAAGAGGAACTACAATCCCACTACTGGGTATCTACCCAGAGGAAAAAAATCATTACATCAAAAAATACCTCCACTTGCATGTTTATAGCAGCACAATTCACAATCACAAAGGTACGGGACCTAAGTGTTCATCAACTAATGAGTGGATAAATAAAATATGGTGTGTATGCACACACACACACCATGGAATACTACACAACTCTAAAAAGGAACAAAATAATATCTTTTGCAGCACCTGGAATGGAACTGGAAGCCACTAACTTTAGTGAAGTAACTCAGGAATGGAAAACCAAATATCACGTTCTCACTTATAAGTATGAGCTAAGCTATAGCTACATATGGTCATACAGATACTGAAGTATATCTGTAGTATAACAGATATTGAAGGCTCAAAAGGGTGAAAGGTAGGACACAGGTGAGGGATGAAAAATTACCTATTGGGTACAATGTACGCTATTCAGATGATGCATATGCTAAAGATGTCACCACTATATGATATATCCATGTAACAAAACTCTGCTGGTACACTTTTATCCCCTAAATCTAATGAAATAAAAAAAGGATTAAGATTTAAAAAAAAAAAAGCAGTCACTCTTTTAAGTGCCAGAGACTATTAGTGAAGTGATGGTCAAGAAATTTGCTAACTACAGGTGACCCCTCAACAACGCAGGGGTCGGTGTGGGGGGGTTGGCAATCCCCACACAGTCGGAAATCTGCACATAACTTTTGAATCCCCACAAACTTAACTACAAACTTAACTACTGTTGTCGGGAAGCCTCACTGAAAACACAAACTGTTGATTAACGCATATTTTGTATGTTATATGTATTCTATACTGTGTTCTTACCATAAAGTAAACTAGAGAAAAGAAAATGTTTTTAAGAAAATCATAAGGAAGAAAAAGTATATTTACTACTCATTAATACAAGTGGGTCATCATAAAGAGAGTTGGTCTAGCTGTCTCGGGGTGACAGAGGCACAAGAGGTAGTGGAGGTGGAAGCCGAGGCAGGAGACACAGGCATACTTGGTGTAACTTTTACTGAAAAACTATCTGCATATAAGTGGACTTGTGCAGTTTAAACACATGTTGTTTAAGGGCCAGCTATGTATAGCATCCCATCATTGCCAGTGATGGGATAGAACTGCCAGATTCTAATCTTTCTTATGCTTGAGAACAAGCCCTCCTCTGACATGTTTCCTGCTTTTCCACAGTGTCAGTATGTATATTTACATCAGTGTGTAAGAGATGTCCTCAGAGCCAGGAAGCTACGGAGTGAACAAGAAAACCCCTTGTTTCCAATCTATGAAAATGTGAATCCAGAATATCACAGAGGTGAGAGATTACTTCACTAACTTTTATGTTCATTTATCGAGATATGGTCAATGTGCAAACCATTAATAACTAAAGCTCTTCTGATATGCACCACCCATTTCTTCTTCTACCCAAAAGGTCCCTACAAAGAGTGGCAACAGGAAGGAGAGGCAGAGTGGGGAGGGGGCTCCCACAGTTCAGTGAAATTGCTATTTCACATGGTTATCTCTTCCTGCCTAAACTAGATGCCCTCTATTTAGGACTGTGCTTGACATTTCTTTTCCAAGCAATAAGCCTCAACTGGGAGTTCAAATTGTAAAGTCCCTTTGGAGAAGAATTTGGTCATCAAGGTGTCAGGGTCCTTAACGTGTTCTTATCTTGCAACCCAGTAGTTCTCCTACCACCCTAAGTACAGAAAAAGCATTATGCATGAAGCTTTTCATAGCTAAAAGTTTGAGTAAAAGACCCTAGCCGTTGGACAATAGAAGATTAAGTACACCGTGGTGCATTCACTTAATAGAATATGATGCAGTCATTAAGAATGTTAATTTTGAGGATGTTATAATAAAATGGGTATTCTTATAAGTAAGTAAAGCAGAATGTGAAACAAACCAAAGTAATGCTCTCCTTCTTGAAAAAGACTGAGAGGAAATGTAATATAATCGTAAAATAAATTTCTCTGAACAATAAAAGCATAATTTTTTCCTTCTATTTTATGTATTTTCTAAATTTTCTAGAATAAGCATATAACATTTTTCAAATGAAAAACTCAGTAGAAAAAAATTTATATACCTTATAAAGCACTGCTTTGATCAAGCAATAATTAAATGACAAGAGACGGGTCCTCATGCCTCTTCCTACTCTGGGCCATCATTAAGACCCAAGTTATCACACAGGCTAATTGCAAATGTGAAGATTCATTGTATCAATTCTCTATTACTGCCTAACACATTACCCCCAAATTTAGCTGCTTAAGTCAGCATTTATTATCTCCATTTCTAAATAATCTTCAATTGCCTGAGTCACCTAACATTTTACTCAGTTCTCTGTACTGCGTATACCCACCCGCCCAGCCAGTATGTTAAATAATCTGTAAAGCACAAGTAAAGAGCTACTATTTAGAGGAGTCTTTTGTAAATCAGATAATCCTTTTGTATTATAAATAATTACCCCCCTAATTTATCTGAGTAGTAAATTAAGGCTTTTGCATGTCAGATTCCTTAAGAAGCTCCAGGATAGAGGGAGTTCTGGGGCATCTTAGAGGTTCCTTTGTCTTGTTTTGACTTGTTTGAGAGTCTTTTCTTAGAGTAATCTATGGTACTCCTGAAAGAAGCTAACTACAGTATAGAAAAGGATAACCACCAGGCACCTAAAGTCTAGGATTCAGGTGCTAAGTCTGGAAGTAACTAGCATTAACAAGCTGTGTAACCCTGGGTGAGTTATTCTGCCTCTCTGGGTCTGTGGCTTCATCTGTAACAAGAGAGGGGATAGACTAGAATCACTAGTCCCTCCAAGTCTAATAATCTGGGTTTCTAAATGGGATGACCTGGCCGCCATAGGAATGGTCTCATCTCAAACTATTAATATATTGAGCTTTGGTCATTTTTGCTGGTCTTTCCCATTTGTTTAATTTCCATAAACAGAGCAAACAACTGTGAAATACCCTACTACAGTCTCTAATTACAATGTTTTTTCTTTCAGATGCAGTCTATTCAAGGCATTAAGAATGTACCCGAAGATCTCCTGGATAAAAATTATTCACTGTGTGATTTTTTTTTTTTTAAACTGCTTCATGCCCTACAGATGTGCCAGCTCTTTCTGTTGATACTATGTATAATTTATTAATCTGGAGAATTTAAAAAATTTTATGTAATTTAAAGGTAACAGATATTATTGTACATAGTTGTATTTTGTAGTTTCTTCTGTAAATATGTATTTTTCGTAATGTTTAATATTAAGCTTTATATAATACTATTTTTCCACACTAAAGTGTTCATGGCTTGTTCTACATAAACTAATTTAAACTATATGACAGGACTACTGGTAAAATGTGTATTTTACTTCTGGTAAAATGTTGCAGAAACAATCTCTCGGACCATGGTTTTTACCTGTTTGCATTCACTGGCCTGGAAGAAAGGCAGGGCTAGTGAGAGCATGTAGTGTGGCTGGCTGGCTGCATTGCTGTCCCATGAATCTCAAGATCCAAAGATGATCCAGATACTATTAGGACAAAATCTAACTGTTAACAAAAGGATAGAGGGAAGAGGAGAAAAAAATTAAGCAGCACCAAAGCAGAGCTAAGTGGTTGTGCCTAAACTAGTTACTCTCTCCCCTTTCTCCTGCCAGGGATTCAAGCCCAAATGGTCATCTCGGGGGTCCTGTAACTTGCAGTGCGAGCCCAGGCTGCAAGGTTGAAGGTTCTGATAGAGAATGATTCAAACAGAAGTGATAAATTCCTTGTGTTAAGAAGATACCAGCTCTCTCAGCTTTGTTACCTGGAAAAAAAAAATTTAAAAAAAAGAAGAAGATGTCAGCTGTACCACTGTCTGGAAACAGCACGCAGAGCACCATTGCGGTGATTAGAGATTATTTCACTGCATTTATAGTGTGGAGTGTGAACAGGCACACCCATACTGTCATGTATTTACACATACTAGTCTTTGTCTCATTGCCAGTGGTCACAATCCTGGAAAAGTCACAGTTATGCCATTCATACTTGGTTTTCCCATTAAAAGAAGATCATGGTGGCAGATTATGCTCCTGATCCAAAGACCTAATACCAGCATTTTTATAGAAATGTCTACAAATGTCATATATCATTAATTTAAAAAACGAACAACAGCACAAACAAAATAGTAGTGGTCTTAGTATAAAATTTTCCAAAAGACTTTTTTAGTAAATCAATGAGGTCAAAATGTCAAGCAGTCACCTAAAGTTGCATTTAATATAAAAGGCGCCTACATACTTTACCAAGTTTATCTTCCATTTGTGTGCCTTATTTTGACTTTAACAAATTTCAGTGAGTCAGTAAGTGAGCTTTTCCTTCCACGAGGTCCGGTTCCGAGAGCTTTCCTGGGGAAAATGTGAAAGGCATCTATATGGAATCTTCATGGCTACCTGAGAAAATGAGCTGGAGATGTTTGCCTTTTTCTCACTCCAAGTTATTTTGTAGTACACTTAGGAATTAGAGGTCAAATGTGTTGATCTCACAGCTTCATTTGCAGGAAGAATATATTTCTTTGCAAGTATGTATTTTTGCTACCTACCATAAAGTCCCATAAGTAAGACAATGGGTGTAATTGGCATAATAATTAAAAATCATTAACTATACCTAAAATAGTTATTTATAACTATATAACACTACACCCAGTCTGGAAGATTCTCCAGGGTTATTTGAAGTTTGTAAAAACAGGGGAAAACTTCATAAGAACGAATACGAAAAGTCCTAAGAGAATTCAGTTTTGACAGTTTGATTGTGCTTAGTACTCTTGTGACATGACAATGTTAGGCTCTGAATCTGTATCGGGGAACTAAGTGGATCTTCTGGGAATGGAAAGGAACAACATACATGTAAGTGTGTAGATGTGCCACCAGCGAGAAAATAGAGGTCAGAGATTTATGAGGTGTGCTGCCTATTAGGAATCACTTTTCCTACATTAAAAAGAAAAGGCAAAAGAAAAACAAAGCAGAATTTTAAACTAATGTTGCTCGATGCAAAGCACATTAATGCTTGGAAAGGTAAATTCATTTTAGACTTTTCATTCACTTAGAAAACTTTAAGTAAGTGCCTGCAACCTGCTAGGCACTGTTCCAGAATCTACACGTTTCTACTCACATAAAGATAATTCATCATGATAATAAAATTATGGTTGTTGTTACTATTTTCAGTTGAGCTTAGAAGAGGGACTCATCAAGGGAATGCGGTAATTGAGTCAGTCTAAGACTGTGGTCACCTTCCACTGGCCACACACTCCAAGTGCTGATGTTGCTTCCATAGTAAACCACTGGATCTAGAAGAGAGAATAATTAATTGCACAAACCAAGAATTAAAACCATAGAAAACTACACATCTGTAACAGTAAATAACACTGACATATCCTGGAAAGATCTATGGTAGAATCAGAATTATGGAAATGGACATGACCAAGGGAAAACTGTACACTCTTTTAGTCTAGTTCAAGAAATGTTAATTCTAAAACATAGAAACTAAAAACATAGTCGATCTATTTATTAATTTTAAAAGGAAAAAAGGTTTCCTTGACATTCAGCTCAATTGGATGTATTTTCATTTAATTGCATCATGTGCTATGTCTTGGTAAACACTCCATTTCCTGTCTTGGTGGGCATCCTGTCTGTGCACCTGTGCGGTACACTTTAATCATCAAGCCTTCAAAGTGCTTTTGAGCTTATCAAACCTTGGGAGAATCCTGTCTTGCATAATAATAATTATTTATCCAAGTTCTTTATAATCAACTCCTTTAATCTCTTCTCATTAAATCAATTTTGTATTATCATTCTGTAGTTCTCTGGAAGGAGGCCAGTTTTTCAGCTCTTGAATCAAAGTTTTCAAAGACTCGCCTCCCTATCTGGGCTTGCACATATCTGTCCCCAGTAATTCCCCATCACACTCCTCTGAGTGCCTCTGTTTCCCTACTTTCCCCTCTCCTCCCTACTGAATATGTCTGCTTTCCCAGTTGAATGTGATTTTATCTTCTGCTCATCTTATCTCCTTACACACATTAGTATAATTTTATAGTTTTTTCTGCTTCCACATTGTCAAAGTGATGACCATGATTTCACTGTTCAATATTAAAATGGCCACAGCACACAGATATTTTAGAGGTAGTTTTATTTGGGGGAGTCTTTAATTAATTCTGTTATTACCTATTGGAAGAATGCCCAAACGACATGTGAAGATAATATGAAACCATTTAGCAGATGTCCAGCAATACAAAAATAGACCTCACATGTTACACTTCACACTCTGATTCTCTTGCCTTGATGTTTAAGGACCTTGTTTCTTATATTAAGCACTTTCCTTGCCTTTTGCAATAAAATTCTCCACCATATACAAAACTCTTATTCACTTAGCTTTCTGAGAATTCTTTGCGGTTGGAATCCTGAAATCATAAAGCTACCAGATCTGCATGACAATAGTGGTAGTATCTGAGCCCCAACTCTGGAACACTCTAGAGTTTTAGTTCACACATGTGGGCCAGAGCGAACCTGAACTGGTGAAAATCAATAGGTAATAAGCTGCTTGTTTGTGGTAGTAGTTCAAGGGCTTTCCAGAGTCTATTTCACTGAGGAAATGAAAGTAACTGATCGGCCAAGACAGCGTGGCAAGAAGGAATGACTTATCCATCCCCAGGTTGCAGTGAGAAAGCCCTCAAACTCTACCGCATTCCTAAAGAGTCAAACGAGAAAATGCTGTACCTGCCCAAATGCCCTGTTAATTCTCTGAGTATTTTTAACCTGAGACTTAGAATCATGTCAGGTATTCAAACAATGTTTCATATCAAAGAAAAATCTGTAAGATTTTTCAGAAAGCAAGTGATACAATGCAAAGGGAAAATAGTTGGAAAAGGGAATCTAACCAGATGTCATCAGGAGGATAAAATGGCATCTCTTCTGAGTGGCCAGACTGTTCTTTAAAAATCTTGTCCTATGTTTCTATTAGGATATATTGCCCTTTTGGGGATTTACTTTGACTACGCTGGCCAGATGATTTAGCTGATTAAACAATTGAATCATTTCATTCATTTTGTGAATTGACCAGGCGTTTGACTAAATTTACTGAGTTTGGCATTCCAGACACACCGCCTTAGGTTCTTGTAGCGCATGATGACTTCGAAAATGTTTGGCCATTTTAGTTAAAATGCAGGATAACATTTGATGCAGCCATGATAACAGGAAAAATCTGTTCTGTTCTAAAAATATTTCTAGCAATGGAAATATTTCTGGCTAAAAGAATACTGTTGACTTGTAGGGAGGCTCCCTCAGAATAAATGTATGCAACACAAATAAGGCATTTTATTTTTTTAAGATCGTCTGTATAGATACATTTATTAAATAAGGACATTTTTGGTGAATGCTCCTAAAATAGAAGTTTATGTAATGGAAATAAAAGATTAACAGGTTTACCAAAGATTATTTTTATAACCTATATGCCAATGCACATGATCTTATATAAGACACAAAAATAAGTTATTCAAAACTGTGAATAATGTCAGACAAATGCGATGTGTCCCTTTTAGAATAGTCACAAGAAGGGTTAGTTATAGCTGTTTTAAGAAATACTATCCTCACCCTAAGAACAAGCTTTCAGTTATGCATGAGATGTTGTGTGCATAAATATGTAGGAGCACAGATATGAGCTGTGCATAGATAAGTATCCCATCGAGAAAGAATACAAGCAATTGTGGCTTTAGGAGTTTGTAGTAGAGTTGGACAACATTCCATTGCAGGTTAGTGGGAGTGCATTAGCCTTCGTGGAATTGCCTAATTTCAAACACACTGGCAAGAGGATGTATCAGTGCTCTTATTTAAACAGTACTTGATCTCTGGTCATCCAAGCAGGACTGTCAGGCTTGTAAATTCTTCAAGTCTTTAATCTCTTCTCTGCTCTTACCTTATAGAAATTAGTACACAGCTCATAGACGTTTTACATACACCTTTTGAAATTGCTCCTAGCCTGATACTTTGGATGTTAGGTAGTCAGTGTCCAATAATATTATTGTCCATGGAGGTTCATCTGGCTGTTCGTTGACTTGTGTGAAGCATAAATAAATAATGTAAATAAATCCAGCAACTGAACTTACTATGTGCTATAATAGAGCACTTTTATGTTTTTAATATCATTTACTATGTCTCTGCAAATCTGGTTAAAATGGCAATA